TGTTCTGACTTGAGTCTAAGAAAGAGCGTACTGTCGAAAACACGCGCTCCATGAAAGCCGACGAGGGTTGCACTACTAGAGCAATGTCCAACACTACTAGGCGAACCACGTCGGGAGTTTCTCTTTGTGGTCCTGCCAGAACTGCCAAAAATCGAAGTCTCTGTCCGTCACGCTGTTGATTATCTCCTCCTCCTCCTCCTCCTCCTCATCGCTGTACTCTACGAGCATGTTCTTCTGTGTGCTGGNTTCTGATTATATTTTGTTTTCTTGTATTTTATCGCTCTGCTGACCCTTGGGGTCCATTTTATTTTGGTATACCTTTTCTAGGTACGTTAGCCTGTGACCACGGAAATTGGCCGAGTCAAGTGATGGATTAGTACGGAGAGATTGAGACAGAAGGAGGTACTGGATAGAGAGACCGGGATGGTTTTTAATGTGAAGACAACAACAGAGTCGGGCCGTATCGTGTCGATTCGACCCGGTGCGTACCCCGTTTTTGTATGAAACTAGAACATTTCGGGAAAAAATGCTGGAAACCCTATTTCCAGCGCCGGCGGCCGGCGGCCAGCGCTGACGGCGGTGTGTGCGTGTGAGCGTGTGAGCGCCGTGGCTGTGTTACAGTTGGACAGCAGCTCGCTGTAGCAGGGCGCTTACAGCCATGGCGCGAATAGCGCGAGGGAGGCTGGCAGCCGAGCGGTACGCGGAGTGCATACAACTNCTATTGAAATCGGACATTCATTGGCCGTGGCCGATTTGGAATCGGCCGTGGCCGACTAGGAATCGGCCGTAGCCGACTGACATTCGGCTATCCCCTGGCCAAAATCGGCTGCTTTGTTTGCAAAATCGGCCACTTTGTTTGCAAAATCCAAAATCGGCCGTTTTTTTTCGCGGCCGTTTTCCGGCCGAAATTTTCAGAAATCGGCTCTTTCGGCCGCGGCCGATGGAGGACAGGCCTACAGGCCTAACCAGATACATACAGGCCTTTCGGGACGTTAGCCCAACAGCCCGGGAGCGCATTTTTTAGGGTTGGGTACTGAACGAGTACGTATTGCCAGTGCATATGCACTGGCAGTGCATATGCACTGGCTGNCTTGTGCGAGGTGAAGACCTGCTTGGGACGTACAGCCTGCTGCGCTGGCAGATGTACGAGCAGCTCGTGGCAGCGACAACGATCGAGGGTATCCGGTTCGACTACTTCGAGAGAATCGGAGGATTCGACTTTAAGGAGCTGTTCAGGTTCGAGAAACCTCACTTCCTGTAGCTAGCTGTTGGACGCACTTCAGCTACCGGATACGTTCGAAGTGTGGCGGTGAGACATCCCGCTTGCGTTAGTTGTCGTACCACGTATTCTCCTTGGCAGGAGAAGCACCGAAGCTAACCCCGACATGCCGTGGCGTGTTGCCCTCCTGAAGTGTGGACGACGCAGCGGTACATAGTCCAACTAGTAGGGTTGGGTACTGAACCAGTACGTACTGCCGGTGCATATGCACTGGCAGTGCATATGCACTGGCTGCGTCAACAGCCAGTACTCCAGTACATTCTTATATTCGCAGATTTCCTCTGTATTACGCCTCAAGAACCAGCGGAAACCCATATACTCAGACCTCCTCTGAGAGACACACCGCCACACGTCAAACACTAGCTACCAAACACGCCACAGAGGTCGGGAGACCATACAACGATGGACAGGTTTGTAGTCTCCCCTGCCCGGTTAATATTAAATATTAATTAGTAACATCGTCACGAAGAATCGCAACAACTTGGCCCCGACCACCGTCGAGCTGCTCGTCCTTCTGCGCCACTCCTGGAAGATAGTCGAGGAATGGGAGCAATCGAACACCCCCGCGGCCGCGAAGAGGGGCTAGGGTAGTGACTGTCTTTGATGGGGAGGATTTTGTGTGCTAGCGGCAGTAATTTGTGCGCAGTGTAGGTTTCGGTTGGGTAGCTTTGGTGCTGTTCGTATCTGTAGCATTCTGCATTCTAGCAAGCTGGTGCTTCTTTTGTTGCGCACCTCCTGTCTGTCGTTTCCCGTTTCCTGGTTAGCTTTTTACTTTTTAGCTCTTAGCTGGTTTCTTGGTATACGTTCAGGGCTGCCGTGTCGTTGTGTCCTTCGTAGAGTCCAGTATACGATAGCGTCGCTCATCAACCCAACTGATGGATGCCACTTGGTTGCTTGGGAGTAATATTATATAATGTTTCAATATTTCCTCATGTATGTCCAAAACCAACAAATTCAGTCGTTGTGAACTCGAACTTTCTATCGTTTTCCCCGCGATAGTGCCTCTGTCAGATGAGCCAAAATCACTCATTTTTTTTGCGTTAGTGAAGCCAAATCGCGTACAAAAGCGCCTCCGGCGGGGCGCCTCCAGNTTACTTTTTACTGGCGCGCAGCGCCATTACCCAACCCTAGCATTTTTACAATTCATGGATTGTCAGAGCGAACCATAGTCCAAACATCCATCCCGGTAGAAACCCCGGGAAACCAGCCAGGGCGTCCCCGAAGTGGTTCTCCTCCTCCTCCTCCTAACAAAGGAAGCAACAGCTAGCTGCTCATCACGCGGCGGAGAGCCGTCTGAAGGTGGCAGCAGCGGCCCGTACGACCCACCCGCACGCTAGGGATACCTAGGAGGTCATAGGCCGCAGAACAAGAGGAGGAGACGATATACAACGCCATTACCGGTGAGATGCAGACAATCTAGTATCTGTGCCTCACCCTCTGCCGTGCTGCTGTGATGTTGAGTATGTACTTGTACAGGAGGGCACGGGGATTGCAATCCCATACACCTATGCTAATAAATCACGATAAGGCGAAATCCTGGGGGAGGGGGGGGGGGGGGGGGGGGGGG